AGAGCCCTGTTACCTCCTGAGGATCCAGGGGGTGGATACTGGGTGCCTTTCCTGCTTCCCTGTGAGGAGCGGGCTGGCCAACTGCAGCTCGGCTCTGTCAGGACCTGAGCTGTCTGCAGAGGGTTGCTCGCTGCAGCCTCGGCTGCCCTGGGCCGGGTATCGTGTTATGCTCTGGTTGCTCACCGCAAGTGCAGAGGTGGCCCGACCCCCTGTCTGCCAGGCAACGGGCTCAGAGATCTTAGGTCGGGTTGGGCCCTAAGGGTCTGTGTGCTGTAGAACCATGAGAATCCTTTTTGTTTTTGTATCTACCAACTCTTTTCTTTTTTTTTTTTTTCTTTCTTTCTTTTTTAAAAATTTATTTTGGCTGCACCGTGCAGCTTTCAGGATCTCAGTTCCCCAACCAGGGATTGAACCGGGGCCATGGCAGAGAAAGCGCTGAGTCCTGGGGCTTCCCTGGTGGCACGGTGGTTGAGAGTCTGCCTGCTAACGCAGGGGACACGGGTTCGAGCCCTGGTCTGGGAGGATCCCACATGCCGTGGAGCAACTACGCCCGTGAGCCACAGCTGCTGAGCCTGCGCGTCTGGAGCCTGTGCTCTGCAACGAGAGAGGCCACGATGGTGAGAGGCCTGCGCACTGCGATGAAGAGTGGCCTCCGCTTGCCACAACTAGAGAAAGCCCTCGCACAGAAACGAAGACCCAACACAGCAAAAAAATAAAATTAATTAATTAATAAACTCCTACCCCCAACACCTTAAAAAAAAAAAAAAAAGCTGAGTCCTAACCATTAGACCACCAGGGAACTCCCACTACCAACTCTTTTCATATCTGTCACTGTCATCTCGTTGTCCATGGCAGCTCCCTGAGATAGGTTTTATTCGCAATGTACGTTTACACACAGGAAATGAAATGTCAGAGATTAATTCCAGTTTCTTCTTCACAGACATAAGGTGGCAGAGGCAGGATTTGAACTTGGGACTCCCATCTGCATTTTCTATTAGCTGAGAGCAAATCCTTGTGTCCCACTCCTTCTCCTTTCCTGGCCATACATGGAACTGCAGAGGAAATGGTATCTCTCATGTTCATCTCGGTTCATCTCTCATTCGGCTCAGATCCTCAGTGGGGAAAACTTGACCGCTGCCCACTCCTCCCCAGCCCAGCAGAGGGCCCGGTGCCCCTCTTGGCGTCATCACCCCATGGGCCTCGGGGGGCGGAGGCATCTGGCCCATCTGTGCTCCTTTGTCAGTATTCTCTAGACTTCTTCCTGGCCCTGCTGACCCCGAGCTATATATCTCTGCATTTCCCTTGCTTTAGCTGCTTAAAGCCAGACTCTTCCTTGTTTACTTCCAGGATGCCTTTCTAGGTGTTTCGAGGCAGGCTGTCTAACAGAACGTGTGTTTACCGTTTGCCATGGAGACGGTTTGGGCCTTTCTTCCTCGAGTGGTGATAAAAACGGTAACAGGGCGCTCACCCTTCCAGCAATTTGTTTGGTAATTCTAAGAGACCTGTGAAAAATGCATGAAGCCTGCGATACCATAGATAAACGGAAAGGCTCGGAGGAAAATCTGCTTGTGGATAATGGGGTGATTGGAAAAACTCTTTCTTTGCCCTCTCCGTCCTTGTCCCAAAAGAGATCATGTTTAGGAATAATTCCTCTGTTAATTCTGATGCTTTCATCCCGGGTCAAAAGCTTGTTGGTGCCTGCTTGTCACATCTTCCCTCCTTTGGTTTCTTGTAGCTTCTTTGGCTTCAATTCACGTCTTAATGAGTCTGAGTTCTCTCAGTAAAGGCCGCTGCCCTAATGCACAAAAGTGGAACCAGAACCAGCTTTGTGTTGTCTGCCAACCATGTGGACATCCTTCTCGGTACTGCGGTGGGGACATCTGAGGGCGGGTCATGGTTTACTGGACCTCGGTGGCTGGGAGAGAATTGGGCCAGCCCGTCGAAGCAACGTCTCTGATGTTGCCTTCCTTTTGAAGGAAAGCAGTGAGCTTGTGTGTGTCCCTGCCATTACCTGTAATGCCTCTACCAGTGGCTGCCCGTCCTGTTCTAGAACAGCCCCATGTGTGTGGCCTTGAAGTGTGCCTCCTAAACACTACTCCTAGGTTTCTCCAACTTATACTCGCAACTCACAGACAAGGAAACCGAGGCGAGAGAAACCAAATGGCTCGTCCAAGGTGCCAGCGGAAGGTGAGCGCAGCGGGAGACTGGGTTTCTTTTTCTTTTTCTTTTTCTTTTTTGCGGTACGTGGGCCTCTCACTGCTGCGGCCTCTCCCGTTGCGGCGCACAGGCTCCGGACACGCAGGCTCAGCGGCCGTGGCTCACGGGCCCAGCCGCTCCACGGCACGTGGGATCTTCCCGGACCGGGGCACGAACCCGTGTCCCCTGCATCGGCAGGCGGACTCTCAACCACTGCGCCACCAGGGAAGCCCTGAGACTGGGTTTCTTGACTCTCAGTCCCTTGTTCTTCCCTCTGTACTGCACTGCTTCCTGGCAGTGGGTGGTGAGGGCATTGCAGTGCTTTCAATTCATAGCCCAGAACGTGAATTCATTGGCCAGACCTGGTAGGGGAAAACCTAGAAGGCTGTCATTCGTCCAGTGTTGTTTGCACCCTGCACGATGCCCTGAGCGCTGTGGATGCTGTGAAGTTTGTTGAGTGGATGACCTTTTAACGTGAGGACATTAACATGATTTCGGTCGTATATGTCGATCTTGGTGTCTCACGAACGACATGCTCTTGTGGCAGCGTAGATCTGGTTCAAAGGAACAAGCTCCGGTAAAGGAACAGTGCCGATGGGGAGAGTTGCCTCTGGGGAGCCCACAGCAGAGAGGTTCGGTACCCTGAAGTGAGGCTGTAGGAGAGAGAACCTATCCAAGTTATATCCTTGGATAGACCTTCCTTACAGACATCTCTCACCTCGTTCCCACGTCCCCTGGGGGTGCCAGACGGGGGCCCTCCGGCATCAGCTGCCTGCTTGTTCCGTCCGAGCAGGGCAGCGGGCCAGGCTCTCAGGAGGAGGAGGAAGTCGCGAAGGCAGCTTCTGTTCTGCATTTGGGTCTGCAGGCGCACGTGCCGGGAGAGGACCTGCGGCGAGAGCGTGTAGGCCCTGTGGCGTTTACAGGTGTGAGGACGGGACGAAGGCCTCCCCAGATGCATGCACTGGCCACCCCTCAGGGATGGAGACTTCTTTTAAACATCCAGAGAAAAAGACACCAATAAGCTCATAACCAGCTACTTTGGTATGAAACATAAGGCGGGAACAGATTTCAGAGAGGTAGATATGGATCTCTGGCTTTTGTGTTGAGAGCTCTTAAAAATGATTACTAGGAACCAAAATAGGTTCACCAGGGGAAAAAAAAAATCCCAAATGGAGCGTTCTTTTTTCTGATAAGGTTTACTAGAAGAGAAGCATTATGGCTTTTGCTCCTGGCCTCTGCTGACCTCGCTGACAGATCTTGTGGAATGGGCGGGGAGGGGTGAATTGGTGTATTTATTCCCTGGGGCTTCCGTAACAAAGTACCACAAACTAAGTGGCCTAAAACAACAGACATTCATTCTCTCACGGTTAAGGAGGCTGGAAGTCTAAAATCAAGGTGTCTGCAGGATTGGTTCCTTCTGGAGACTGAGGGGGAATCTGCTGGTGGCCAGTGGTCCTTGGCCATCCTTGCCTTGTAGCTGAGCTCGGTCACTGTCTTCATCTTCACACAGCCTTCTCCCTGTGTGTCTCTGTGTCCAGATTTTCCTCGCCATGAAGATACCAGTCAATGGATGAGGGTCCATCCCAATCCTGTATAACCGCATGTTAACTCGATTCCATCTGTAAAGGCATTTCCAAATAAGGCCATGTTCACAGGGACCGGGGGTTAGAACTTGAACAGATCCGGGGGTGGGTGTGCACGATTCAACCCACAGTAACAACAACAGCTAGTGAATGGCCTTCCTTATACCCAGGCTTGTCTCTGAGCCCCTCTCCTGTTACTCCAGCATCCCCCATTTGTGTCCATAGAATCATGGAGTTTTAGAGCCAGAGGGATGGTCTCATTTACTTTGTCTTCCTGACAAACTGCTCTAGCCCCCTGTTGTGACTTGGAGCTCTTGGAGTCACAGCGGTGTCTCATGGCGGCCCAAGATCCCTGAGTTCTTTTCCTGGACACATCTTGCTCTGTCTTCCGTTGAATTACATTGCAAATAATGGTTTCTCGTTCCTCATGTGCCTTAACGTTATTTCCCCAAGAAGATTGTAACTTCCTTAAAGACTAACCTTATCATAGTTCTGCTTGCATTTCCATGGTCTACCATGAAGCTAATGGGTATTAATAAGCACTTACTGGAGTGAGCACCTGCGGGCCGGGTGGCTGCCCCATGGCGAGTGTCTCATCACCTTCCCACAGACCTACTGAACCCTGGCATCCCATTCTCCCCAGCCCTGCCTCAGAACCGTTATCAGCTCAGGGTGCTGGCCACTCATTGAGCATAATCCACCCGTGGAGCAGATCGGGTTTCAGGTGAGGCTTTATCCAGGAGTTGCACAAGCTGACCAGAACCGACTTGTTCTCCTTTTCTCGGCTCTGTTTTCTCACTTTGGGCTCCATCAGCTCTCTCTCCTTCAGATCCCAGGATGACTGCTCCCAGCTGCCCGGTCTCCCAGCTTCCTCTTGTCCTCAGGGAGGGACAGTGCTCCTGTCCCAGCGTTTCCAACAACAGCACTGAGCCTGCCTCTGATTGAGTGGACTCGGGTCACATGTCCTCTCCTGAGCCGGCAGCCCCAGGAGGTGGAACATGCTGATTGGCCTGACCAAAGTCACGTGATCCCAGTGGGGCTGAGTGGGTAGAGGCAGTTTCCTGAGACCAGGTGTTGCCTCAACCAGAGGTCAGGGCTGGTGGGGGGATGGAGAACAGAGAGATGGATGTGGGGATGGCACGTGGGACGAAACCTTCTTGTCACCCTCGTTTCAGCATCAGTCTTCCCTCTCTAACCGGAAGGAGTGTTCTTTCCTCTCAGGAATACATTGATGCCCACCCTGAGACCATTGTCCTGGACCCCCTTCCCGCCATCAGAACCCTGCTTGACCGGTCCAAGTCCTATGAGCTCATCCGGAAGATCGAGGCCTACATGAAAGGTACGGACGTGAGTGGCTCAGCATCCGTGGCAGTCGGCCCAGCTCGTGGACACAAGGTGGTCATTGCGTGGGGTGGGAGGAGGGACGGGGGTCCGGTCTTTTTAAGCACTTTGACACAGGAAGCAGCTGTACGTTCTGGGGAGGGCCTTTCCTTCTCCCTCTGTGGCCAGCAGAGTTAGGAAGTAAAAGTCCTAGGGTGCTCTCTTTGGGAGACTGGCTCCAACCACTTCAAGTTTTGTTGTCTTAAACCCACGAGTGGTGATGAAGTATCCAGATAAGACAGTGGTTAGGGAGCAGAAGTGCGTGTAGAGCAGCTCAGCGGCAGGCGGGCGAGTGGAGTTACGTAACCGGGCGAAAGAGACAAACAGAGAAATTGAAGGGCCTTTGATCAAACACATGGAGATATGTAATGTGGCGGCTGGACCTTGCGGGGTACGCTCTGTTCTCGCAGGCGGGAGCCCCCCTCTCAGCTGCGGGAGCGTCTCCTGCCAGCTGCGGGCCCGTGCCCCTGAGGACTCATCCTCCCCACGTCCCAGGGCAGGGCAGCTCCAGAGAAGTCAGGCTGCCTTTCCAAGGTGTTTGTTTATGTGAGAAGGGCTTTTTGGAAAGGTTCACGTTCACAGTCACCTCCTAGCTCTGCCCCCTGGTCCAGGCGTTCCCGCTGAGAGTTCTTCTTTCACTTTAAGAGAAAGTGCTTTGCCTGGGCCTTGGGGCTGCGTGAGAATCCTCCTAGAGGCAGGAGAGGCAGCCCTTGTTCCTGCCATCCAGGCCACATGTGTGTGACCTAAAGGGGCTGCCTTGAACCCTGACCTGGATGGTGACTTGGCCCCAGGTGTTGTTCACGTGATGGTTGGACCAGTGGGTGCTTTGGCTCACAGGACCAGCATGGGGATAATAAGCGCAGGATTTATTGGGTACATGCTGTGTGCCCAGCACTGGGCTAAGCCGCCTTCTTACAGTCTCTGTTCTGGTGCTTATTTATAAAGGTGGGCCAGATCATCCATCCTCCCTGTTCTGCACAGGAGGCTCTGAGAGGTTAACAGGTGTGCCAGCATCACCCAAGCCTGTAAGCTGCAGAGCTAGAATCTAGCCACGTCTCTCTGACTCAGGCTCCCCAGCTCCTAACCCCTAAGCTTGACTTTCATGTCCATAGTCAGAGGGCCCTGGATCTAGCAAGCACCTGGCATGGATGCAGTCATGGACCCTGGTCAGGAGAATTGGTGAGTGCTTGGTTCTCTAAGGAACCTGCCCTGTGCAAGAGCTGGCTGGTGGACCTGGCTGTCCTGGAAGAGGTCTTGAGGCATTTTTGCCCTGGGCGCCTGGCCGTCACCAGGAGACAACATGGACATGACATTCTTGGGGGGCCCCAAAGCAGGTAGCGTTTTTCATCATGCCAGCATCCTCCCATCCTTGGGTCTGGAGTGGTCAGTGACCGTGTCAACTTCCGTTCCCTTTGCATTCCTTCCCTGGGTTGAACCAGAACCCCCAGATGAGAAGGAAGATCTATAGTGATGTTTTGGCTGAACGTTGGTTCTGGAAAGGAAATCCACCTTTTCCCAGGAAGTGTGTGTGTTAGATGCCAACTGTCCGCGAAGGGACAGGAGATGACAGTATGGGGTCACCCAGGAATGGGAGCCACTGTTCCTGCTCAGCACTTTACACTGGAAAGCGCTGAGGCATCTGGATTGGATCTTGGAATCTGTCTCCATTTTCATGGGTAGAGAATCAGGGCTGGGATCAAGGGTGAGCTCAGGCCTAGAGTGTGAGCATGCGTGTTCAGCAGGCTGGACTGCAGGGTGCACAGGCAGCAGGATTGTCGCTGGGGGGTGAGTACTGAGGGGGCGAAAGCCTCCCAGACAGGGCGGGGGTGTGAATGAAGCAGGGAGGGAGCTGAAGTGGGGTGCTTGTGTGGACTTGCAGACCATCGGTCAGAGGGGGGACTTCGAACACCTCGGGCAGTTGGGAACTCCATTCGAGAGCAGCCTTTGAAGGTATGGGAGCTGGTGAGTGAGGAGATGAGAGTACATTTCAGACAGGCAGTGCAGACGCGGCCTAGAGGTAGATTTTGATGGTCGTTACTGTTGTGAGGGTGACCTCCCACCCAGCCACAGGTGTGAGGGGCTGGTGACTGGCCCCCAGCGGGGACACAGACAGACCCCACTCAGCTCCAACCCAGCTGAGGTCAGCTCAGGGGCTGCCTGCTAGGGGGCCCAGTGAGAACTTGTTGACCAAACTCTCAAGACCGGCTTGGTCCTGGGCCAGCAGGAATTGTGTGGGTGGGCCGTGACCGCTGCACCCTGGGCTTTCCTTATCGTGCACGCCGAGCCGGGCTGGTATTCTTCCAGGAGCGCAGGCAGAGGCTGGGACTTCCTGGAGCCTTTTCCTGCCCACCCGGGGCGGTACATGCGGAAGCGCTGCTGGCTTCCACCTCCCATCCTCCCAGAGGCCAGGCTGCTCCTGGCGCGGATACAGAGAACCTGCTCTGGGAAGCGCATCCCTGGCGCTCCCCTGCCGCACTCCTGCGATTACTGGAGGCTCGCAGCCCTGTTAATCCTGCTGTAAAGGGCCGTAATTACCCTTTTAGCTCCTCAGGTACAGCAGTCCAGATGACACCGCTTTTGTGTTGGGAGAAGGGGCTTGGCAGAAACTCCTGGAGCTGTTGCCACCCCTGTGCCAGCGTGGCTCTCCCTGTCCTCAGAGAGCCTTGGTGGCTGCACAGAAGACAGGGCAGTGGGTGAGGCTGCTGCAGGGAGGTGACAGGGCTCCCTGCTCTGCACTGGGGGTGGGCTGGTGGGCTCTGACACATGGGGAGGGTCTCCCGGGGCTAACAGGCAGAGCCCTTGGACCGAGGGTCCACGCTCGGGCCATCCATCGCTGCACAGAGCATCAGCTGTGGGGGACAGGTGAGGCCTGCTGCCCGGAGCTTCCAGCCTCACCTGTCTGAGGACCTGGGCGGCTCTGTGTGGTTGGTGCCATCTCAGTTCCACGCTCCCAGAGCTTTTCTTTTCCTAATTCAGAGCCTGGAGGGAAGGCAGGGTCCTTCCCGCTGCAGACGTGTCAGTCTGAAACCCGCTGACAAAGTTGCTACCATAGCAGAGACCTGGAGGGTGGATTAAATGAGATGGACTTCGTTCCTCTCTCGCGTAAAAGCCCAGAGGAAGGCTGGCCGGTGCTGGCGAGTGACGGCGGGGACCTAGGCTTCCCCCAGCTCGTTGTTCTTCTGGTGTGGCCCTCCTGGTCCAAGGTGGTGCTGAAACTCTCACCACCACATCTACAGTCTAGACGTTAGGATGGAGAGGGGACTAAGAAAAAGGGAGCAAAGGGAAACAGCCCTGGGTATCTTCTAAGGAAAAATTCTGGAAGCTACAGTGATGTTCTTTCATACCTCAGTGGTCAGAACCGAGTTACAAACTGAGCTGCAAGGGAATCGGGGAAAGTGGTCTTTATTCTGGGCAACCATGTGGCCAGCTGACATTTGGGAGCCCCGTCACCATGGCAGAGCGGGGAGGATGAGTTTGGGGCACAGCTAGCTGTCCGCCTTCCCCTCCGGGGAGTGGGTTCCTGCCTGCGGCATCCATGGGTGAATGGCTCTTGGAATGACCTTTCCCCTTCCAGCTGGCCAGGGTGGGCAGCCTTAGCAGCACGTTCCTTCCACATAACAGCTCACACGACATGAGGTCAGTAGCTGACGGAGTGCCTGGGCCCCAGGTTTCCCTAACAGGTGATTGCTTCTGGGCGGGGCTGCACCCACACCCTTTAGCCAGAGGCAGAGATGGCACTAGACCTGGATCCAGTTCAAACCAAGTACAGGAGCCTCCCAGAAGCTGAACGCTGCCTGCCGCCGGCTTGCGGGGAGCGGGAGGCGGCGCCACCAGCCAAGATTGCTGGACACGCACCTGCAGGCCTCTTCTCTCGTGGGCACCTGCTTTCCGCATAGGGCCGGGGTTTTGAGGTGGAAGCCCCGAGACCAAGGCCTGGCTCTGCCGCCCTAGGACAAGTGATCCTGGGCAAGGCTCTAGCCGACTCCTGAACTGGCCGGAGCGATGGGCGAGAAAGCTGGGCTATGATTGGAGATTGTGGGTTTGTGTCCTTGGCCCTGGGGGCAGCAGGTGGTGGGGGGTCTCAGGCCACAGGGCAAAGGGCTCAGAGGCCCTTCCAAGACGGCTGCCGATGAGGTGTGGCTGCCCCGGCAGCTCCCACACATGCGCTCTGGGGGTGACAGATGGCCGTCCGGACGCCGGGCCTCCCTGGGGACGGGGGGGGTGCACACCGCAGATCGAGCGTCTCTGCCTGTGGTTTTATGGGAATTTAATCAGGGCTCATCTTGCAGGCCGTTTAGAGGCTGGATTGAAATGGAGTAATCTAGACACCAAGCAAAGAGAAAATGACATTCTGTAGAGCCTGGGAGACCCGATCCCCGCAGAGCAGCCGCCGCGGGGTGGGGGTGTGTGGTCGAGTTGGGGGGTCTCACTCAGAGGTGGGGGCCGGCTGTCCGCCCTTGGTGAGCTGCGGAGGGCCGTGGGTGGGAGAGGAGAGAGCGGGAGGGGCCTTGGAGTCAAGGCCTGGGCCCCAGGTCCGCCTGTGTCCCCAGTGTTGTGGTGCCTGCAGGTCACCGTTCCTCTAGGGCCACTTTGTCAGCGCTCAGGGGGCACCCCGACTGCATGCCAAGCACTGTATTAGCTGGTTTAATCCTCACGATGACCCTGTGAGACGGGCAGTACTGTCACCACCCCGTAGCGGTGAGGATGCTGTATCCATTGAATCTAGTTGGTTAAGGCCGCAGAGCTACTAGGGGCAGAGCTGGGGTTTGAACCCACGCCATCTGGGTGGGTTCTTAGCCAGTGGTTCCCGAATCCGGCTCCCGGCCTGCTGAGGAGGGGTCGAGGCCACGATGGATGCAGTGTGGGCTCCGGCCCTGCTGCTCTTGCTCCGCCAGCTGGCACTGCCCCCGGGTGCCCTCTGGTGTCCAGGCGATGGCATTGTCCAGACAAGATCCCTGC